TGAAGAAGAAAGTAACTAGACAACTGAACTGTGATTTATTATTGTACCGCATTCAACGAATTTATACGTATAAAAATGAATATGACATTCAACAGATGTCACCTCACAAATATGTAAATCTTCACGCATACATAAGTGAGAAAGGATCAACTTGATCATAAATCTCTCGTTAAGATTTCACAACTCTCTCTCATAAAAATTTCAAAAAAGAGAATAATTTGTCTGCCTTGTTGCGTGTATGGGGTGGGGTGGGGGATCCCACTAATTGCGGTGGATGGGGTCATGTGTGTTGTGTTCCCACCAAAACCTTGGTCTGAACGGCAAAGCAGACACGGATGTCATTCAATTTGAAATTATTACTTCAATTTTAGGCCTGTGAGCTGTTTGACGCATACATACTAATATTAGTAGTGATTTCAGACTATTACTCATTTATTGGCTTAATTTTAATAGTGATGACTCCTTGCTTATGTTTTTAATAATGTCAGGTGTTATGGCTGTAAATGAGTTGAAGAGTTCAAAGCCAACTACTTAAAAACTAAACTCTTATTCTTATTCACTAAGTACATGAATTGATGAATCTCATCCAGTCATCCTATATTATGAAGTCATTTATTAAAATGAGATCAGATTGAACAATAATAGATTCTGATACAATTGTGTTATCTCAAAAATTTTAATACCCATCTATTGATTATTATGTCCTATTTTCTTAACAAAGTGATGAACCACATGCTTTTATTGTCCGTTTGTGAGATTTTTTCAAAATCAAGTATAAAATCCTGTAGTTTGTTTGATTTGTAATTGTAAAAATAATTTTCTATTTTTTTAAAATAGAAAACAAAAAATTTTACAAAAATTCTTAGTTCAATTTTTTAAAAACTTAGTTATAAAAATATCTGTTTTAAGATAATTATAAAAAATTATTCTGTGAAAATAGTTTTTGTTTTCTGAATTATTGAAAACTATTTTCAGAATTACAAACCAAACAGACCCTTATAAAAAAAATTCATTTCTTTTCTCTTCAAGCGAATCCCACAAAATTTATAAAATCAAATAAAAAAAAAAACTTATCCGAATTAACTATATTCCTGGGTACCCCCGCCAATTTTCTTAACCTCTCAAACTCAAGATTTCTCTTTTTAAAATGAGAAATCATACTAACTTCTTCCGAATTGATACACCGTCACTGTCAGAGGTGGAGCTAAAGGGGGCGGCAGGGGCCATCCCCTTCCCCCCTTAAAAAAAAAAAAAAAATTATTTTTTTTCAATTTCTTATTATACCCTATTAAATTTATTATAGTATAAAAATACCCTTACTTATGACCTCTAAAATTCATATAAAATTTTAATTGGACCCCCTAATTTTTTTCAAAATACTTATTTACTGTCCCGGGAACTATGAATTAAGAATTAAATATAACTCTTGTCACCTCAAAACTTATATAAAATTTTAAATCGGACTTTTTAGCCTACTTTTGATAGCTCAAATCTTGTATAATAAGTTCATTATCGGTTGAATTTTACAACAATACATAATTATTTTATTTTCATGTCATACATAAAATGAAAAATTATTCTACCGTCTCCTCCTACTATTTAATAAAAATACACGAACCTTCTTTGTGAATCAATTCATGAGAAGTAGTAAAAACTAATATATTTAAAATATTGTGATAGATAGCAAGATTACAATAACGCCAACACCTTCAGGCAAAGAGATCCTCTATCTCCCTTCCTCTTTGTAATCATTATGGATGTAATGTCCTCTTTCCTTAACAATGCTATTCAGAGAATCCCTGAGTTCAAGTTCCGTTGGAGATGCAAGAAAAAAAGGCTTTTTGCCATGGGACTGTGATTCGTTATCTACTCTACTCCATGCTCTTAATGACTTCAGTAAAGCTTCTAGTTTGCATCCAAATTCTAATAAATGCAAGGTTTTTACTTCTAACTTAGCTACTGATGTTCAGATTAGCATTATGGAGGCTTGTGGCCGGTTTCGAGATGGGGCATTTTCCATTCAGATACCTTGGTCTCTCTCTTTCTTCAAGTAGGTTATCTGCTTCTGACTGCAAAAGACTGGTGGAGAGCATTACTTCTAGGGTGGGCAATTGGACTTCAAAGTTGCTTGCTGGTAAAGTGCGACTCATCACGTCCATCCTCATAAGCATTCATAGTTTCTGGAGCAGTCTTATTATATTCTCCCCTATCAAGTTTTTCAATAGGTTAATGGGGTCTTAAGGAACTTCTTATGGACTGGCATTGAACTCAAGTGTACATGTGCTATGATCAAGTGGAAGGAGGTGTGCAAGCCCAAAGAGTATAGAGGGGTTGGCATCCCAAATCTCTACTCCCTTAATAGCTAGGATTTCTGTCCTCAAACACATTTGGCATATGTTTAATGATGAAGGGCAATCCATTTGGTTTGACTGGGTTCATTCTAACTTTATTAAGGATGGTAGCTTCTGGACTCTCAAAGCTAACCAAATATGGTCTTCTAATTGGAGAATGCTCATGAAGTTGAGAGAGATGGCCAGGCCTTTCATCAAGCACATGGTGGGTGACGGGAAGCACATTTCATTATGGCATGATTTTTGGTTGCCCGTAGGCCTCTCGACAACAGGATCAATGCTGAATTGATTTCAAACTCTCATTGGAGTGATAGTGCCAATCTTAGCTCTCTTATTAGGCAGTACCATTGGACAATTCCCAGAGCCTTCCATGTTATAGCACCAACTGTGGGAACTACGGAGTTACTTCCGATCCCCTTATCAGTAACAATTCTCCTGATAAAGTTTTATGGACCCTCTCCTCCACTGGGTCATTTCACCTTAAGAGTACCTACAATACTCTTCTTCCCCATAGTCCTCGGATTAGCTGGTCGCATGTTATATGGTTTAAGAATCATATTCCGAGGCATTCCTTAATTTATAGCTTGGGCTGCTATCCATCACAAACTAAAAACCAGAGATAAATCGCTTTTGTAATAGGAAATTTGACAGAACATGCTCTCTATACCATAGGGATGATGAAAATCATGATCATTTGTTCTTCAATTGCCCATATTTCAGTAGGGTGTGGCAATTTTTTCAGCACAAATGTGGAATCTATATTGGTGAATAGGGGATCTTAGCCATTGCGAATTGGATAGCAAACCTGTGGTGCTCGGCATCTAATTAAGTCCCCCAAGGCCATGGTATATAAACTTTGTTTTGCTTGTACAACGTATTTTCTATGGACCTAAAGAAACAATACAACATTTACTAGAGAAAGTCTTACAATGGAGCAACTTTGTATGCAAATTGAAATCTGTGTTAGAAGCAAGTTCTCCATTGTTCAACTTACGGATTGTACAACATCGAGGTCTGTTGCTGCTGATTGGAGCCATCCGAGCTCAGACATCACTACCATACCTCATTAGTTCTTTCCTTCAGCTCGCTGTTCTCTTCCTTCCTCTTTCTATTCTCTGTTTTGTAGAAGGGTGGTAGTGGAGTCCCTTTTTTCTTTGCCCAGTTTTGGCTGGTCTTTCTCTTTGCCTTCTGGCCTGTATTTGGGCCCGGCCCTTTCCTTCTTTAGGTTCCTCCTAATAAACATTTAACTTACCCAAAAAATAATAATAATGCCAACAACATTAATAATATTATCACATATGTTAATATTTTTAGTTGGTACGTGTTACACGATAAATTCTATAGATACTCGGTATAAATTATTAAATCACTTCTCTATTTTGTTCTTGTGTTTTGTTGAATTTTGTCAAGTTAAAATGGTCTATTTTTCTCTTAATAATTTCATTGAGATAATAATGACATATTTTTCTCAAAATGGAATCAAATTCGACATATTCTTCAATAATGTTTTTTTTTTTTTTTCTTAAGTACTTTTTTAGGTTCATTTTCCTCAATTTTAGAGCTGTGTATTTTTTTTCTCAATATATATAATAATAAGAATAATATAACATAAAAAGTTGTATTAAAATTAATTTATAAAATTTTCAGTTTTAAATTATATAATATTAGTTCAGCCCGAACTCTATAATGAGAGGAGTATCATGCACTACATTGACTCTTTTTTTTTTTTTTTTGGACACCCCAAATTGTAATTCCTGACTCTGCCCCACTGTTGATTTGAACCTCTACTCTAGGATAGAGCGTTGAGTTGGTCTGCATACATACTTTAAGGTGATTTTGGAACATGACATGAACGGCAGATCAATGACTCTACTGTATATATTATGCTATGAAGAGAAATAGAGAAGACATCTAAGATAGAATAAAATGAGCACGTATACTCTTGCGGTACGTACAATTATTTCTCTTGCATCATCTCACTATATGCCTCTCATTTGTCCGTCTTGATCTTTTTTTTACTCTATAAGGAAGGCTCTCATTCCTCCATATTTAAATACACCTAGGAAGAAAAAAGAACCCATGCATTGAATTTGTCACTTTTAGCCATGTCACCTCTTGCAAGACGTAATTGTGGGTTTCGGTCTCTCATGCAAGAGGTGGAGAAGAGGCAGCTGTAACTAGAGTTTTTGAGCTTTTTAATTTGTTTTTCTAATTACATATGTGGCCTTTTAATTAAGAAGTAATCACTGCCAAGTCACTCTCAAACAGATTCAAGATACGAATCTTGAATTGTATTTATAATACGTATCACAACTCTTATTTAAATACTGATGGTGTAGGTGAACATGGAGTCCAAATTAAAGCTCGGCCTTGTTTGGTCAATTCACAAAGTCTGTCATATCATTTTGTAACACTGCATTAAAAGTTAAAACTGCATGCATGATCAACCCAACACTAATAAATGCATGCATATATAAACAGGCTTTCGTATATAAGAGAAGTCACTTAAGCAACAACCAAACTCCAAAAAAATCCAGGATGCATGATACATCGAGCAGTACTATACTGTACGTGTAAACCAAAGCATAAGCTTAATTACCTGTAAACCAAAATATTGCACAAGGAGTAATTAGTTATTAAGGCTGCTGATCATAATTTTATATATTAATATATAAATTAAGCCAAGGCCACACACACATATATATAACAGCAGAACTATGTACATGGAAAACAAACAACACTAAACCAACCAGAGTCGAGACACAACAAACGTACACCACCTTACAACACAGTGATCGGCAAGCCAAAACAAAGCAACCTAGCTAACCCATCACAGACACTAGATCGATTAATACGGAGGAAAATTGATATTTGGATGTGTGGCGTCTGCAGGGCACTGCCTCCCATAATTGTATTGTGGACAGTTGATATAGTTTGTCATATGGTAATCGAGACAAATATATATCTCATAAAGAAGAGGGACGCTGTTGCGGAGTAATCCGCATGAAATGTAAGCCTGGGCTCCGATCCTTTGGCTCACGGCTTTCTCGATGTCTGATCTGCTGTAATTGATGTTAGGGCTGGGATTTATGTTGTACGGGGCAGCTCGGAGAGCCTGGAGAAGGTCGATGTTATCCTTTTGAGCAATGGCCGACTGGAAGTACTGTAAGGCGTTGAGAGTGGAGTTTGAACAAATCCCATGTTTGTTCCACTCGTGAGTCCAGAAAGCAGCACTACTCCCCTTCCTCCAGAATGTAGGATTGAGGGTCGGCCAAACTTTTTCTAGACGACCATAGCCCAAGCTCCTAAACTGTGCATACATGTAATTAAAGTAAAGTTGTTTAATATATATATATATATATATATATATATATATATATATATATATTTCAATGCATAATGAATAGAATCAAAACAAAAACTAACGAAAAACTTGCCACATTAGTTATCACGCAATAAAGACATTAATTTTTTTAGTCCCAATCAACGCAACTTTGGATTCTCAACCCTGACTTTGGGATTTGAATGATCCAAAATTAACAGCCCACAGACTTATCAAAAAAATATATATATATTAACAGCCCAACAGTATATATATATATATATATATATAATTTTATTTAAGCACGAGAAAATATGAAAAATATTTCTATCTGTTTTCATTGTCCCTCTACTATAATTATTAGGTTATTAGTGTGTTATAGGGTTGGATTGAGTGATTAGCTGAGACTCAAATATTACCGTCTTACTTTTCCTATCATTTTCTTTTGCAATCCTATTTTCTAAGATCATCAAACAAGTTTGCACTGTTTGATTCTTTGTTTTTTTTTTTTTGGGCATACTCCAACCAAAAACAACAAATACAAACTGCCGCAAGCCACCCTAATAGATCAAAGCGCGCAACTAGCGAAACAACTACTTTAAATTGAACAGAAAAGAGTGATCCCATAATGCTGATGAACAACTGGACTGCAGGAGGTGGAACAACTGAAAAAGAAATCATCATTAACAGAAGAGAAACTAACTGCACAACAAAGTAAATATATTCTTCGTCTAAAGCACACGCCTTGAAGCTCCCATTGATCAACACATTCAAGCCACATTTCTTCATTAGATCCATCCAAACTGCATAGCAATTGAGCAATTGAAAATTAGAAGATTGCTGGCATATTAATCATCACACAGTCACAAAACCCTGTTTGGTTTGCTATATATATAGCAGAGGGACAATAAAAACAGATAGAAATATTTTTCATATTTTTTCGTGCTTAAATAAAATTAAAAATATATATTTTTTTAAAAATGGTTGAAAATAAGGAAAGAAAAATAGAATTATAATGTCCCCGGCGGGCTAGCAGTGATGGTGGGGCTTGGGCCTAGCACACAGGAGGCCAGTGTTCGAGTCCTCTACTTAGCCTTCTAGTTTCGTCGATTAACCTGGTACTGTAGTTGTGGAACCGGTTGCAGTATCCCCAGTTTGGTACCCTGGGGGTGAGTCCGAAGGGCCCTGCCTAAGGGAGTTCTGGATTATCAAAAATAAAAAAATAAAATTATAATTTTAAAAATTAAATATGAGACGAATTAAAAAGTGTACTAGATGGAAGAACCCAAGACTAGAGTACTAAGACGGGGGCAGAGGAAGGCCCAAACAAAGTCAAAGTTAGGAACATGAAAATACAAAATTGTAACGGGTGTAACTTTCCCATTTACTCAAAAGTTTAAGTTTTTAGGTAATATTGTATACCCACTAATTTATACCCAATCACTTTCCTATCCGAATCTAATATAGAACAAATGACCTTTGTTACACTTGACATATGTGCACTAGGCTCATTAAATCATTTCATTAGGATGTATAATCCAGCCCAGCCCAGCTAATATAATGTGTTTTTATTGCTTTTAAAATAAGTGCTGAAGCCCATTTTGTATTCTGATATTGGAGTCCAAAATCACCACCAAGAAACATCCATCCATCCTTGGGTGGTTTGGTTTGCAAAATATATCGTATCATTTTCGTATCCGATCATATATAAGAGAAGTCCGCTTGGCTACTGATACCAGATTAATATTGCAAACCATAAACTTTCCAAACCCAAAATATTGCACAAGGAATAGTAATTAAGGCTGCTTATTATTTTATATACTACATATTAATATTTAAAGCAAGAGTAATGACAAAGCAAAGGGCCACACGTATATATATATATATATATATATATATATATATATATATATATACAGACATGGAAAACAACAGCAAAACCAACAAACCATGGTAGAGATCGATAAAATAAACAGCACCTAAGTTCCTACCACATTAATACTTGGGAAATATGATATTTCGTTGTATGGCGTTTGCAGGCGGGCACTGGTACTTCTTCAGTAAGCTTGGTCGTGGACAAGGGCGGATATAATGTGCCATATTGGAATCGAGACATATTATATATATATATCATACAGAAGGTAAGTCAATTCTCAGCAATTTCGACCAGTTCTTTGAGAGTGCCATATAGTGTCTCAACAACATTCAGTAGGAACCCATCCGAACCATGCTTTGCCAACAAGGAAACGGCCACAGGAAGATTATCATACATCCCTAATGGTATGCTCACCTGTAGATTGAACAATTTTCAGAAGCGGCAAATTACTACTTCTATGGTAATCAAGTATGGAGTAGAGAAAGACAGAGAGCGGCAAATACTACTTCTATGGTAATCAAGTATGGAGTAGAGAAAGACAGAGAGCGGCAAATACTACTTCTATGGTAATCAAGTATGGAAAGAGAGAGAGAGAGAGAACCTGGCAAAATCCAGATACTCCAGCAATGGACAACAAGCTAAAAGCCCTGGCACCACATGTTTCCAGGGTAGTTGCCTCTGTTTGTAGTTTTGGCGGGGGACTAACAACTGTAGGTATTGCAAGGATGCCGAACTCCTATATGATTATATTCCGAAAAGCATACCAAGTGGGAAAATTTAGAACAAATGATTCATTAAGTTGTCTTACAACACTTCAAGCAAGTTGCAAGAGTATGTGGACATAGTCATATAAGAAAAAGGAAAAAAGAACAACTAATATGTTAGGAAAAGTAAAAAAGGACAAGTGCAGCAGCAGTTCCAAGAGGATTGTTCCTCCCTAAAATTAATCTGATGGGAATTTTCAAGGCTGAGACGATATGTTTGTCCAGCCATTCACATATACTTGAAAAATTTAGGGAAGAAAATCAATGGATCACAAACAAAACAAATCAAATCATCTTATTCAATTTTAAATCACAGAGAGTATTATAAACTGTACACAGAGGACAAGTATTTTTTCTGCAGAAGTTATAACCTACGATACGACAATCTCTACTTCTATGCATAAATCTAATCTTTAATAATCTCACGAAGGAGGTGTCTTCTATCGTAAGAGTGATCTGGTGTCTAGACACCATTGGCAGGTAGCTTGCATGTAACTCCTCCGCTGCCAAACCAAAGGTGGAACGTTGAAGTCCAGTTTGGGATAAAATGGGTTTTCTTGCACTTATTAAGTAAAAAAAAAAAGCCACAAAGAAGAAAAGATATGGCGTTCAGATTAGCAGCATAGAATATAGATGCATAACAGGTGATTCTACATATATATATATAGGTTGAGATTCTTTAGAAGACAATCAATTGGAAAATAAAAAGACGCTAGCAAGGAACAATATAAGGAAAAGCCAAGCTCCAAAATATATTTTCACTACCTAAATGAATAGGAAATCTGTCTTCCTAATGTTGATACTCTCTGCTGTAGAATGTTTAATATTAGCCACAGCATCCACAACTACATTGGCCTCTCGTTACCCATGATAAGCCCAAAACAACTTTAGATAATGCGTCAGGTAGAATGCGTATCAAAACTATATAAAAATTAAACCAGAATTCCTTCTTAAAATTTGAAATTACTTCAAGATTAAAATTGCTATCTTCTGAGACATTGCCACACAGAGAGAGAGAGAGAGAGAGAGAGTACCCCTAGGAGCTCAGCGAGAGCAGCACGAAATTCAGTCTTCACAGAGTAGCAGACATCAATATGTGCATCTGTTGTCCTAACAGCTTCCCATATCCGTTCTGCTATTCCTGGTCCAAAATCAGGTTTTACCGTACTGACCCATTCACCATGATTCTTTTTGAATTCAATCCTACACTTGAAAAGGTAATTGATTTAGAAGTTGACAAGAGAAGAAAAAGCATCTTTTCAGATGCTAAGACTGACTGATATAAAATAAAATTAAAAAAAAAAAAAGGCATACAAGCCAAAAACTTAATCAGCACAACATTCAAACAAATTAAAATTTTTGTTCATGATCTGCACCTTTGAAGCAACCTCATCGCATTTGAAAGAGCTACCAGGGATGTTATATTATATTCTTGAGTTTCAATTCCTTCAAAATGCTTCAAACTTGGAACTTTGTCCTTAACATAATTCCCAAGATTTGCATATTTGACCATGTGACCTGTGTCACGAACGAAGTAAGGTAGATCCAAGAATATTGAATATGCATGTGAGATGAGTCTATATTATATAGCATGCTTCCAGGGGGGAAAGGGGGGGAGGGGGGTTAACTTCTTCGCAATTGTTCTTTTTACAAATTCGAGTACTTTTTAAAGATTTCATTCTTACAGGTGGATTGGTGTGCTAACATGTAATGGAAATTGATATGAGATCATTGTTTCTCTCTGATGTGTAAACTCCACATATCAACTAGCAGAACTTGACTAATAGCACAGTCATATAATCAACCCACTTACCCCCATATAACTTCTCTACTGATTGCACAAGAACCTTAGTCACACGATCAATTGGAATGCTTAGAAGCTTGAAACAATCTTCTGGAATAATAATATGACTAGGTTTCACAGGATCAAGGACAGGCAATTGTAATAGTACCCGTCCAACTCAATTCAGATCACAGGATCCCTAGCAAACCACCCTGGAAAAGAACTCTGTGTTAAAAGAATGACTTGAAAATTAAGTTATGAAGCTTTATGTCATCACAGCTATGATATAAACAAATGTTAAGTGGAACCGTGTGGCCATAAGAACACATCATGAACCATCAAATGATTGTAGAGAGTGTGTTGCTGTGCAACGTGTGTGTGTGTGTGTGTGAGAGAGAGAGAGAGAGAGAGAGAGGTATTGCTGGATAGTGAGTGTTCTAAAGCATTCCTCAACATGATATTGTCTGATTTCAGTTAATCCAGTAAGCCTCCAGGCCCCCAAAATGTTTGAAAATTTATTCTTGTTCTTCCAGCGAGATTTAAAAGTAACACTTTTAAAAGAAATGCAGAACCCACCCACTCGACCAGTTATATTACAATTTTAACAAGAAAAATATCACTTTTTGGTTCCAATATAATTGAATATTTTTCAACCATTGCAGCTAAATGAACATTAATTGGCCCATATATTGCACTTAGGCTTTTTCGAGGCAGAGCTTCCCACTAAATAACAATAATTGTAAAAACCATGCAGCTGATTATCATTTCATCATCCAGATGATTCCTCACCTACGGTATCAAAACTCTGTGCCATAGGAATAACTCCAGTAGTTGAAACAGCACCATGAGAAGGGCGAAACCCCAAAATCCCACAAAATGCCGCAGGAACTCTTACACTTCCTCCGGTGTCAGTACCTGCAATATACGGGACCCTTTTGTTCATATGCAGAAGGATCTACTAAAAACCACCAAAAGGTATCGAGGAATGAAAAAGCGCACCCAGGGAGAAATCTACAAGCATTGCACCAACTGCAACTGCAGATCCACTAGAAGATCCTCCAGGGATACGATCTGGTGCGCATGGATTGGTTGGTGTCCCGTAATGTTTGTGTTCTCCATCTATACTGCACAATGAAAATAAATTTTTTTATTCGACTTACAAGTATATGCAAGAAGAACTAGGTAAGGGCCTAAAGCACCACATAAGCTGCTGGAATCCCAATTTGAATGCACAAAAATCATTATTTGGAATGGATTAAGAAAACATTTCAGGTCACAACAAAGGAGAAAAGGAAAAGACAAAATCAAGTGATCCCTTTCCTAAGAATCATAAACGGCATTCAGTTTTACTAGATGCGACCTTGATAAATTGATCATTAGATGCTATAAATAAATAAAAAAGAAGATCCATTTAGATAACGAATAGGGAAAAAGACCAAGAGCAGAACAAATTGAAAATGGCACTGCTTCAATTTTATTGAAGATCCTCTGAATACCTCCCCGGTAAGTGGCATTATCTTGTTCTATCAGTGTCATTTTTTTTCCCCAAATTAAAACACCTTGCCGGTGGAGGTTTGTTGATGACCTGAATTAATTTATTAAAGAAAAGCACTAATTACAAGGCAGACAGGAACTATCCCATCTTCCCCAGATTAGACCTTGGAAGGGCACAAAAAAAAAATTGAGGAATTTTAAACAAGCAAAAACTATTTCTCAACTTCACTGTAACTCACTGTTCAACCCTTGCTTGAGTAGTTGAGCTTTCCACTACTTTCTTCCAATTCTTCTTGCAAACCACATGCTCAAAATTTTCAAAAAAAAAAAAATTCTTTTAGTCAACCATATTGGCAACTAATAGGTTATTAAGCCTGAAATTCAAAAGAACATTGATCCTGCTTGTGATTTATTTGGGCCGATCATGCTCTATAGCTTATGCTATCATTATCAGAACAGAGAGAACCTCAATTTTTGATCACTTATAGGTATGGAATTTCTCATATTTTCTAATCTAACCTAAATCAACGCCTATGACTCATAGCCTTGTAAGATGTGAAAACGTGACCAGCATAATTAGGAATCACTACCTGATTCTCCAGCATCATTATTAAACATTTTCTCTTGATCAAATTTTCTCTCCTTTTATGTTAGTCAACCACGAGTATGATCCCCATTTGGTTGGGCTTTGGGAAATTTCTCAAACTCAGGTACACTTTCTAACCCATAATCCTGTACACTGATTCTCCTCATTGTTATCATGATTATGATCTTCCGCGACCACAAAATTTAATTTAGATTAACTTTTAAAACAGTCCCCAACGTTATGTTCATTATTTTCTACTACTTCTACAAGCTTTTCTGGACCCATGTAGTTTAAGGCCTTTCCTCCCATGCCTCTTTGAATTACAAACAAACGCATCATGCACCACTCTTTTGGATGTAGACAGAAAAACATCCTGTACCAACCATACAATTTTTGAAATAGAGAATTTTAAATCTTTCCTGAAGAGAATATATATTTATGAATTTAACTATAGTAATGGAGCGTAGCCCTTTAAATTTTACCAACAATACAGCCAAGTCATCTGATTGACAAAAACATATTATAGTGACAGTCATTTCTCTAATACCATCAAAATAAAATACAATATATATATATATATATAAACAAACACATTTCATTGCCAAGAAGTACCTGGTAAAATAAATAAATAAATGTTAACATGGATGCTCTCATTTTATATTTGACATGCTAGAAGCTAAAGCAATTTGACAGCTGTTAACAAATTTGACAAATTTGGGTTTATTTTATCTGGAATTTAGGATGTCCTACAATGAATTAGTTCATAATATTCATTTCTTTTTTCTGTTATAAAGGGTTAAATTGTAAAGCAAGTAACTACAAAAATTGAAACAACTTGGTGGGAGAAAAAAAAAAAACTACAAATAAATTGAAATTTTAGTAATTCAATACATATGCAATTTTAGTGATTATCAGATCATCTCTCTTAAAAGGCCATCATCAAATTCGTGTTTCACCTTTGGAGGGGTGAATTGCATTCAAACCTAACCACCACCACTATTTAGCACAAAGTGATTGCTCAAACAGAATCCTGCCTACCATTGCAGCACGAGAATTTACCAATGTACTTGTCTCTTATATGCTTTTTAAGGTGATTTTGAGAAGTCTAAAATCCATTCCTTAGCAATAAATTACGTGACCAGATTGTGTTCAACATATTGAACAGAATAATCAATAAAATTCAATTCGTGCCATTTTTTAAAGTTGTGAAATTTGTCATACTGGTGGATATCTCATATGTAAACACAAAGTTTAGAATGCCCAATAATGTTATCCAAATGCCCCATCAAACAAGATTAAATTCATAAGAAAATGGGTATGTAATACAATTGCGTCTTTGACTCTAACCTGTATGCCATTTCATCCATTACAGTTTTTCCCACACATGTGGCACCTCCCCTTAAGATGGCCAACACGGCCGGAGCTGTTGTTGTAGCAGCCACATGAGTCCGTGCCCAATCCGGATTTCCAAACCCAGTCACGTATCCATCCACATCAAATCTGCTTCCAAAGTTCAAATCAAAAGGGATAACAATTAACACACACATAAAACTAGAAAAGAATACTAAAACCAATGAATGAAATTGATTTATGAATTGGAAACAGACAAAAACTGGTTAACCCACTTCATATCTTTCACTAATTCCTAACAAGAACCAATAAAAAAAAAAAAAAAAAAAATTGGAATTGATCAATAATCATGAAAATAGTGTAAGAAAATGAGTTCAATACGCTAACCAAGACATTATAACATATATAGTTCACATATTAATTGAATCATATTTGCTAAGAACTTATGAGGGAAAAAAAATTATTATTCGCAAAAATTAAAGAGTGAAATTATGAGGGAAATCACAAAATTGAATTAATTGAATCATATTTGCTAAGAACTCACATGTCTTTTATGGCAAAGGTCAGGCCATTCAATGGAAGCTCCTGAGATGAAGAGCTTGGCTGTAGAATAAATTTTTCCATGAAAGCTCCATAATCAGAGTCCCTTGCCATCCCCCCTCCTCTCTCTCTCTCTCTCTCACTCTCTACGTTTTCCACTTGGCTCTAGCGTTGAACTGATGGAGTGATCATTACTAGAGTCTAGAGAAGCATCTATACGACTTCGTTTCATATTGCCTTGGCAACACCTTTTCGTTCGGATACACTGATTCACTCTATTGGCAATTTTGGCCCAATTGTAATCTGATTCAGCCAATCCTCGTCGTCTACGAAGGTAAGGATTGGATAAACAAATTGAATCACATCCACAGAGAAAAAGAAATTGTAATAAAAAAAAAAAAAAAAAATTTGCATATGATCTATGACAAGCAACAATCTAGGAAACTGCCGACTGAGACAAATTATATTATATTTTATATATATTTTTTCTTGTGGAATTCAAATCCAACAAGTTTGAAACACTTTTAAGGCCTTAATAGCCTGGTGGTAGGGCATCCCCCATCCAATCGGTGCTTGGGAGTCAAGTTCGAGCCTTCTCATCTACTCCCTCGTCAAAAATAAAAAAATAAAAAATAAAATCTTTAAGGACAAAATTGAGTAGTTTTGTATTTTGTTAATAATCTTATTGGAATAATGTGATTTTAATGTATTTTAAAATACATTATGATTAATTAAAAATATAATATAAAATTTATATATCAAACAACAAATATTTAATTCTAAATTTTAAATTAGTGATTTCATTTTTGATATAACGAGTCAAATAAGTGAATTGATGTAATTCATGATAGTTACACATATAAATCGTAAATTGAAACCCAATGTAGATGCTGCATTTGATAAGTCTTCTAAGGAAGCTGGGGAAGGGGCTGCTTGTTTTTCAGGCACGCCTTTACCAGTTGCTATATATATATATATATATATATAAATATATATATATATATATATGTCAAGTAAGATACCAAGTCCAGATGGTTGAAGTACAAATAGACTCCAAACTCGAAAAAGCCCGCAAGGATTGGTAGTTGCTGCATTTTTTATTGTTGGAACTTGAAACTGCTAGCTCTGAAAGTGAGGCTCTCTCTTTTCAGAGAAGGGTTGAAACTGCTGGCTCTAGGAGTGGGGTTACATGATATGGTCTTAGAAGGCGATTGTAAGGCTATCGCGTACCTCCATTAAGACTCCCGAGTTCTCAGCTGGTGTGGTGTTACCGTGATATTCTATATATCTGCTTAGAGATGAGGACATGGAAAAATATTGCACCAGCTACTTATTAAGCTTGCAGATTATTTTATATATTAGTAATATTTAAAGCAAACGCCACACAACAGAAGTACATGGAAAACAAACCACATAAACCAACCAGAGACTACACAAACAACAAAACGTACTTCCTACATGGAAAAGTAAAAAAAAAAAAAATCAATGTTATTAAATATTATTAATTTTAATTGTGAATTCTTACTATGACTTATTAGTCTTTGTCCATAGTCTTCAGTGTGAGTGTCAAATGAAAATGGCCACTTTGATGACTCTTTTGCCTTTGTTCTTAATGGTGTCAATTATTATGGTTGCAAATGAGTAGAGTCCAGTTTGTGAAAGTTCAACAACTTCACTCTTATCATTATTTATATATATATATATATATATATTTTTAAAAGTACATGAATCAAAAATTGATTTTTCCTTTTATTTATTTTATTTTTGGGGGGATGGAGATTCTTGTTCAAAGAGAGGGTGCTTGGAATAGCCACTTTCTCTGAAAGAAAATAGCAATATATTACTTCAATATAATTTCATAAGACTGAATCTGAAATGCTAAGTTCCCTTGACAATTGTGTCCCCCATTAAGTCCTTTTCAGGGTAGGTGACATGGTAATTGTTTAAAGAAAAAGTCTTTTTATTCAACTTATTTCTTAGCCCACAGTCATTGACACCAACAAGTTTAGTTGACCACAATCCTTTATAATAACTTGTCATGTTACATGACCACTGTGCTTGTTTGTTTCCATGGAAAATATGACTTTTTCTTCCTTTGCTTTACAGAACACTTGGGGACTACATTTTCCAGGACGCAGGATGAAAAAATCAATTCTTTTTCACCCCATGTCATGCATACTTTATAGTACAGTGACTCACCGTTGATAGCCATTTCCTATCCAAAGGGGATGTTTAGGATTCATGCTCCAGTGGGGACATCTGTGTATGTATAGATTTACTTTTATATATATATATATATATAAACTCCACTGATGGAATCACAATATAATAGTAGCAAATTGCCGGGGAAAAAAAACAGAGCAATTGGTCTTGTTTAACACAAACTCTGCTTCCTGATTCCAGTTCCTACAAGACAGTTAAAATTACAGTCATCATCATCCTTGCCTTTATCCCGGGCCGGCCACAGTTAAAATACAGTATAACATGATCTAAAATCATAATTTTATAAAGCATACAGTGGCACCTATCAGACATGGCCATGTTCGACACAAGGAAAATGATGTAAAATCATAATTTTTGCCTGTATGGAACAGATATGAAAAAGTGTTTGGGCTCTGAGAGATTGTGATGAGGTTCTAGATTTAAACTCATGTTTTTCTCAGCAACCAAACATGGCATTAGTGACTTTGAATGTTCTATGCCTAAATTAGCTCCCTAGTCACTAACTGAGGAAAAATGTTTACATGTACAATTATACAAAGTTGTAATCATCATATTATAAAATGTGCAATCGTTAGCACTTAGCAGCTTTAGTTTGCAGCAATAATCAGGTCCCAAGTCAGATTATTGCGAGTGCTTTTTCATCTCAAATGTTGAATTTGAAACTCTTATCAGTCAAAGACTTGTCAAGTTCATATCCGCCAATGAAATAATATTATATCAATTGAACACTGAAATAGCAACCAAATTAAAGATCTTTTGGCCTCAGAACCAATTCCATTTAGCTGGAGTTATATGGTTCTGCATAAGGCAGCGTGGAAATAAAACCAATGCAGTGTTGGCCTACTTAAATGAAAGAAATGATGAAGATAATGGTGTGAAGGAGCAATAAAATGTAAAACATGGAAGGAAAAAAAACAAAAAACTTTGCCAATCTTAATTTCTTGTAGCAAGATGCGGAACTTACAAATATACATAATGACGATGCCAAATTTAGTAATTCAATTCTCAGCAATTTCGACCTGTTCTTTGAGAGTGCCATATAGTGTCTCAACAACATTCAGTAGGAACCCATCCGAACCGTGTTTTGCCAACAAGGAAACGGCCACAGGAAGATTATCATACATCCCTAATGGTATGCTCACCTGTAGATTGAACAATTTTCAGAAGCGGTTAATTACTGCTTTTATGGTAATCAACTATGGAGTAGAGAGAGAGAGACAGAGAGCAGCGAAGTACTACTTTTATGGTAATCAAGTATGGAGAGAGAGAGAACCTGGCAAAATCCAGATACTCCAGCAATGGACAACAAGCTAAAAGCCCGGGTACGATATGTTTCCAGGGTAGTTGCCTCTGTTTGTAGTTTTGGCGGGGGACTAGCAACTGTAGGTATTGCGAGGATGCCAAAATCCTATATGATTATATTCCAAAAAGCATACCAAGGGGTAAAATTTAGAACAAATGACTCATTAAGTTGTGCTTTACATTTTCGTACTTCAATCAAGTTGTAAGAGTATGGACAGTAATATTAGAAAAAGAAAAAAGAACATTCAGGGCAGTGACGATATGTTTATTAAACCATTCACAGAAACTTGAAAATTTTAGGGAAGAAAATCAATGACAAATCGAATCATCTCATTCACTTTCAAATCACAGCGATTATGATTAACTGTATGAAGAGGACAAATATTCCACTGCAGAAGTTATAACCTATGATATAATCTCTACTTCTATGCATAAATCTCATCTTTAATAACCTCGCGAAGGAGGTGCCTTCTTTTGTAAGACTACTCTGGTGTCTAGACACCAATGGTAGGTAGCTTAAACATGATAAGGTGGAACGTCGAAGTCCAATTTTGGATAAATGGGTGTTTCTTGCACTTATTCAATAAAAAAATAAAAATAAAAAATAAAAAATAAAAAAGATATGGTGTTCAGATTAGCAGCATAGAAAAACAGGCGATTCTACATATATATACATAAGATTCTTGAGAAGACAATCAAATGGCAAAATAGAAAGCACTAGCAACGAACAATATAAGGAAAAGCCAAACCTGAAACTCCTAATTATATTTTCACTACATAATGAATAGGAAATCTGTCTTTCCTAATATTGATACTCTGCTACAGAATGTCCAATATTAGCCACAGCATCCACAACTACATTGGCCTCTTGTTACCCATAAGCTCAAACCAACTTTAAAAAATGAAACCCAGAATTCCATCTTAAAATGTGAAATTACTTCAAAATTAAAGTTTTTATCTTCTGAGACATTACTAGAGAGAGAGAGAGAGAGTACCCCTAGGAGATCAGCGAGAGCAGCACGCAATTCAGTCTTCACAGTGTAGCAGACATCAATATGCGCGTCTGTTGTCCTAACGGCTTCCCATACCCTGTCGGCTATTCCTGGACCTAAATCAGGTTTTACTGTACTGACCCATTCACCATGATTATTTTTGAATTCATTCCTACACTTGAAAAGGTAATTGATTTAGAAGTCAACATGAGAAGAAAAAGCATCTTGTTAGACGCTAAGACTGACTAATATATATATATATATATATATATATATATATATATATATATATCATACAAGCCAAAAGCTTAATCAGCATAACATCCAAGCAAATTAAAAATTTTGTTCTATCATCTGCACCTTTGAAGCAACCTCGTGGCATTTGAAAGAGCTACCAGGGATGGTATATTATAATCTTGAGTTTCAGTTCCTTCAAAATGCTTCAAACTTGGAACTTTGTCCTTAACATAATTCCCAAGATTTGCATATTTTACCATATGACCTGTGCCACAAACGAAGTAAGGTAGATCCACAAATATTGAATATGCATTTGAGATGAGTCTATCTTATATAGCATACTACCAGGGGGAAAAAGGGGGTTAACTTCTTAGCAATTGCTATCACTGTTTACCTTTTCCTTTTATAAGATTCACATACTCCTATATTAATGTCATTCTTAAAGGTGGGTTGGTGTACAAACATGTAATGGAAAAAATAAATATCAATATCAGATAATTC